GAATGTGTATTTTGCTTCCTTGGGATGAAAGATTCTATATATATCAGTGAAGTGCATTTGATCTAATACATGGTTCAGTTCCACAATATCCTTGTTGATATTTTGTTTGGAAGATCTATCCATTGTTGACAGTGGGGCGTAAAATCCCTACTATAATTATGTTGCTCTCTATAGCTCTCCTGAAATCCTTGAAGAATTTCCTTATATATTCCTAATATATATATTAACTACCCTGTGTCTTTTTATTAGAGTATTTAATCCATTTACATTTAAGGTTATTATCGATAGGTACTTATTCATTGCCACTTACTCCCTTTGTACCTGTGTTCCTCTCTCTCTCACTGTTTCTCCTACTCTTCTTAAAGCATCTCTAGCATATCTTGCAATGCTGGTTTGGTGGAGGTGTACTCTTAACCTTCTTTTGTCTGAAAATCTCCTTATTTTGCCTTACATTTTAAATGAGAGTGTTGCTGGGTAGCGTAATCATGGTTGCAGTCTGTTGCTCTTTATTACTTGGAATAGTTCTTACCATTCTCTTTTGGCTTGTAATGTTTCTTTTGAGAAGTCACCTGTTAGACTTTTGGGCTCCCATTTATGTTATGTCCTGTTCCTCCCTTCCTACCTTATTCATTCTCTCTTTGTATCTGAATTTTCCTAATTTAGTTATGATGTGTCTTTGAGTGTGTCTGTTTGTGTTCCTCTTGATTGGGACCGTCTGTGTTTCCTGGACTTGTGTGACTTTTTCTTGCAAAGGAAGTTTTCCATCATTACTTTTTCAAACAGGTTTTCTATTCTTTTCTCCTCTTTCTCCTTCTGGTATCCCTATTATGTGGATATTATTACTTTTAATGTGTCCTGCATTTCCCTTAACCCTCTTCATTCTTTTTGAGTCTTTTTTCCTTTTCTTGCTGTTTTGTGAGTTTTTTTTTTCTATCTTGTCCTCCATCTCACTAATTCGATCCTCTGCCTCATGTAGCCTGGTCTTGATTCCATCTACTGTGTTCTTCATTTCAAAAGTTGTATTCTTCATTTCCTCTTAGCCCTTGTTGATTTTTTTTATGTCCTTTTTTATGCTGATATAGTTTGCAGTAAGTTCCTCATACTTCCCTGTAGGTTTTGGTAGTTTGCACTGAGTTCATTCAGCTTCCTTATAACCACTGCTTTGAACTCAATATCTGATAGTTGACTTGCCTCTATTTCATTTAGCATTCTTCCTGAAGATTCCTCCATCCTTTCTGTTAGGGATTGTTTCTTTGTCTTCCCATTATTCGTGAGACTCTTTTTGTTTGCTTCTGTCTCTTAAATTGATCTGTTTAACTCCCTGTATTTGTGGTGTGAACTTCTATGGTAGGCGGTCTGTGAGATTCAGTGGTGTTATCTCCCTGATCACCTAAACTAGATGCTCTTGGGATGCCCTTTATGCTATTTATGCTGGTTCTTTGCATATAATTGGATATTGATTGTTGTTGGGGTTTCTTTGATGGGTCCTACCTTCCAGCTGGTTGACAGAGTGACACTCTACCCACTGTGTCCTGTGTGCTGTTGTGCAGGTGCTGCCAGAACAAAACCACAAAGTCCAGGAAACAAACCCATACCTGCAAAAATACTCCCTCCCACAATCCCACTATTAACAGCAAATGAACCAGTATTAATAAGAGTGTAAAGAGATGAGGACTATTATAAGACAGGAGAGCAGATATGAGATGACCTACTGAAATAAAAAGAAATTTGAGAGTGTAGAAGGAGGAGGACTAATAAGAGTTGGGAGTTGTGAAGCGAAAGAATTGGCACAATGCAAAGAGAGAAATTAAAATTTACATCATGAAAAAAATGAAGAATGTGGAATTGAGTATGAGACAGGAAGTGTATAGTATTAGGTTTGAACAAAAATGAAAATAATATAAAATAAAGTTGGAGAGAGAAAGAAGGAAGGATAAATAGTAAATAATTAATAAAAATATAGGAGCCAAATTGGAGAGAAGTACCACCCCAATACTACCAACAACAAATGAAGTAAAATTAATATAGTTGGTATGGGAATAAGAGGGAAAAAAGAAACAAAGAAACATCTAAGAGATGTCTAGAAGAATGGGAAGTGATTTTGAAATGATAGAGGGAGAGGAAATACTAAGAGTCACGAAGAAAAACTAGGCTAGACAGGGAAAAATTAAAATTAGGGATGTAAGGGAAAAGAAAGAGAAGGAGAATAAAGAAAAATATAAGGGCAGGATGAAAGAGAAATAAAAGACAAAAAAAAAGAAAAAAGCAGGCTAAGATGGAAAAATTAAAAAATTGAGATGAAAAAAAGAGTAGGAGTCCTAGATGGTGTCGCTCAGTGGATTGAGTGCCAGCCTCAAACAAAAAAGGTCTCTGGTTCTATTCCCAGTCAGGGTTCATGCCTGGGTTGTGGGCTAGGTCCCCAGTAGGGGGCATTTGAGAGGCAACTACACATTGATGTTTCTCTCCCTATTTTTCTCTTTCCCTTCTCTTCTCTCTAATAATAAATAAAATCTTTAGTGAAAAGAAAAAAAGAGTAGATGAGGGATCAGCAAAATTTGATATTTGAAATACAAAATTAGTGAAGCTCTAGAAATATAATAGAAAAAAATACAACAATAACTACCCTACCCACAACCAACTAGCAAAGATTGCTACAGGTGGAGAGAGAACATGAGTATTTTAAGAGCAGGGAAAAGGGATGTCAGATGACCATTGACAACAAAATTGGTGTTGTGTGTCTGGATGTGGGAGAAAGAGTAATGGTGTGGAATGGAAACAAGTTGTAGCAAGAGAGGAAACAATTTGAAATGAGAATAATGCAAGAAAAGGGGAAGGTAAAATGAGGTAAGAGAAGAGAGAAGCAAAATATGTGAATTGAAATACACTGGTATAAAATGTAGTGACTTAATATGTACAAACTTGCTGGACAAGAAATGAATGTTAAAGAGCTATGCAGGAAAGAGAATATTGCAAACCATGGAGAAGACAACAGTGGATTTTGTCTTGATAGCTTCTTGTATTTACCACTGGTTTTTTCTTTCTTGATCTGCTTCTGGTGATGTCAGATGTTGACCCTGTCTGCCCTTAGGCAGCCTATACAAGACTTCCAAGGATCTACTGTTCTTGGATGTCTCCTTCAGTTGTTAATCTAGTCACTCTGGACTTGGCAGTCAGGTTGAAGCAACATAGGTTGGGGCTGAATCCCTCCTAGGGTACGGGCTTTTGTTTCCCCTCAGGCTGCTACTGCTGCTTGGAGAGGAGCAGTCTGCCTAAGCAGGATGGCTGCTCCTGTATGGGGGTTGGCTCAGCACCTGGATCCCAGCAGCTACTCTCAGTTCTCTCCCCAAAGCCTCTGTCCCCAGTCTTTTCTCAAGTCTTTCTAGTCCACTCTGCCCCCACCTTTGCAAGGGATCTACTGTCTGTGGCTGTCTCTTTCTGTTGTTAATCTAGTCAATCAGTACTCAGCAGTCAGGCTTAAGCACCACAGGGCTAGAGCAGAGTCTCTCCTGAGTTGGGGGCTGTTGTTTCCCCTCAGGCTGTTACTGCTCGGAGGGAAGTGGTCTGCCTGAGCGGGATGGCTACTTCTGTATGGATGCCTCAACAATGGGATCCCAGCCTCTACTCTCTCAGTTCTCTCCCTGAAGCTTCTGTACTCAGTCTTTCCTCAGGCATTACCAGCCCACTCTTGCCCCTCCTTTGCCAGAGCCTAGGATAAGTGGCTGCAAATTAAAATTTGTGTTTTGGCCCTTTTAACAGGTCTTGCATCTCCAGCCTTCTGTCTCTGCAACCTTGCCACTTTTTGCCTCTGGTTATTAACTGTACTTTTTGGACTCTGGTGCTCTAGGCTGAGAATCCTAGCTTAGGGTTTAGACCCTATTCTTCTCAGGGGGATCCAACCAGCCACTTAATTATCCCACTGGCACTGCTGCCTGTGGGTGCCCAGTCAGCCCTCTCAAGTGTCTACTACACTCCTTAACAGATAAGATTGTGCTGAAGCTGATTCTTCTGTCTGTCCGAGGTTATTTGGCTTCTCTCTTGCTATTGCTCAGTTGTTTGTTCTGGGTGGTTTCTCCATAATTGAGTTGTAATTCTAGACTGGCCCTGGGTGGAAGTTAGTGTGACTTTCATTCACTCCACTGTCATCTTCCTCACCCCCTCTTATCTAGTTTCAAATTTTCAGGTGACTCATCCATAATTAAATGAGGCTTTCACTGATTTATCTTGTTTCCCCAATCACCAAGTTCACCTCCTTTCCTGCACTTTCCTTATTCTGTATTTCCTTGACTTTTTCTGAAATGTTTGAGAATACAATCTGTTCCATAATGCAATGAATAATCCCTATGTAAATTAGCCTAATAGTCATATGAAATAGGGAATATCAGTATAATATAGGAGTTAGTTAGTTCACAGGTAATTTTCTTAGTTTAATGTGGCCAGAATAGTAGATTTATAACATTCAGAAGGAAAGGCAAAAGCCTTTAATTTTATGCTTTGTTAGGAGCCCTTTTACCTCTGTATCAAGCAAACTAATGATAAATGCTTGCACCCAGGGCTCCCTCCTCAGAGACATATACAATCAGCTTTGCATGGCTTCAACCCAGACACATTGTACTTTACCTGTTTTGCATCTTAATGGTATCCTTACTGGCTCAGGGCTTTGTTTTCATGTGTAATGTCTCAGTTTCTGAAATCCAGCATTTTCACTTAATATTTGTGCATTTTCATACTCATGAAGTGGCCTTCAGTTATGCTGAGCTGCCTTTTGGGTTCCCTTAAGGTTCCTATTATTGTATTAGTGCACTGCTAATACAGTTGCATAGATCTGAGAAGTCCTCTCCAGCTCTACTTTCTTCATAAGCTTTAATTCTGGTGTGCAATTTTGCATTAGATAGGTATCATTTGTAATAGGCATTGTTTTCAGTGCCTTTTATTTCTTTATGGAAGTTTTCTTTTTTCTGGAACAGAAAAACAGCATGTGTTTGCTTTCTTGTTTCTTTCAGATTTGGAGTCCAGATACAAGACCAATACTTTATCCCCAGGAAAGGATATTTATGAAACATATTTATTCCAGTGGGAGATAATGGAAACAACTAAAAGCTATTGCCTTCAGGACTCCATTATTAGAAATTATTGGAAATGCAAAAGTAAGTTTGAGAGGCAAATGGAACCACAAGAAGGATATTTGGGGCAAATGAAAAATACTTCTGAAAAAATAACAACTTACAAAAAGCAAAATTTTCTTGCTGAATATCAGAGAGTTCATAATGGAGAAAAGTCATATGAATGTAAGGAATGTACGAAGACCTTTATTCGTCGTTCAACACTTAGTCAACACCTGAGAATTCATACTGGTGAGAAACCTTATAAATGTAAGGAATGTGGGCAGGCTTTTAGACAGCGTGCACACCTTATTCGACATCACAAACTTCATACTGGTGAGAAACCTTATGAATGTAAGGAATGTGGGAAGGCATTTACAGTGCTCCAAGAACTTACTCAACATCAGAGACTTCATACTGGTGAAAAGCCCTATGAATGTAAGGAATGTGGAAAGGCCTTTAGAGTACATCAGCAACTTGCCAGGCATCAAAGAATTCACACTGGTGAGAAACCCTATGAATGTAAGGCATGTGGGAAGACTTTTAGGCAGTGTACACACCTTACTCGACATCAGAGACTTCATACTGCTGAGAAGCTCTATAAATGTAAGGAATGTGGGAAAGCCTTTGTATGCAGTCCAGACCTTAGAGTACACCAGAAAATTCATTTTGGTGAGAAGCCTTATGAATGTAAGGAATGTGGAAAGACTTTTAGAATATGCCAACAACTTACTGTCCATCAAAGTATTCATACTGGTGAGAAACCCTATGAATGTAAGGAATGTGGAAAGACTTTTAGATTAAGACAACAACTTGTTCGCCATCAGAGAATTCATACTCGGGAGAAACCTTATGAATGTGTGGAATGTTGGAAGACCTTTAGTAGTTACTCACAACTTATTTCACATCAGAGTATTCATATTGGTGAGAGACCTTACGAATGTGAAGAATGTGGGAAGGCCTTTAGATTGCTCTCACAACTTACTCAACATCAGAGTATTCATACTGGTGAGAAACCCTATGAATGTAAGGAGTGTAGAAAACCATTTAGACTGCTCTCACAACTTACTCAACATCAGAGTATTCATACTGGTGAGAAACCTTATGATTGTAAGGAATGTGGTAAGGCTTTTAGACTTTATTCGTTTCTTACTCAACACCAGAGAATTCATACAGGTGAGAAACCCTACAAATGTAAGGAATGTAAGAAGGCCTTTAGACAACATTCACACCTTACTCAACATCAGAAAATTCATAATGGAATTTAGTAGAAGAAAGCCTTGAAATGTATAGACCATCAGAAAATTCATTTTTGAGAATTTTTTTATGCTCACATCTAAGCATAAGAAATTTCATATTACAGAAAAATGTTGCTTTAAAAGCCTTCCTTCACCATGCAGACATCATCTTTAGCAAATATATGTCAGAGAATAATACAATGAATGTAATAAAAATCTTTAGCTTTATCATTATCTCCATTTCACCACTTTATTACCAGTGTGTTACTGGACAAGGTACTTAAACTTCTGTGCCTCATTGTGTTCACTCATAAATTGGTGGTAATGTACCTGTGTACATTATTTATTGCTATGTAATACATTACCACAACTTAATTACTAGCTTAAAATAATACATATATATTATTTCACAATTTCTATGAGTTGGAAGTCTGGGTATAATTTAGTTGGGTCTTCTGCTTCAGGGTCTCTCACAGGCTAAAATCAAAGTTTTAGATGGGGCTGAGTCTCATCTGAAGGCTCAGCTGGAGAAGGGATCCACTTCCAACCTCACATGGTTGTTGGGTGAATTTAGTTTCTTGTGTGAATTTAGTTTCTTGTGATAACATTGAGGTCCTCACTTTCTGACTGTTGGCTAGAAGCTGAACTCAGTTCTTTGCCTCATGGGCCTCTTCAACATGCTGCTTACTTCATCAAAATATGCAAGCCAAGAAGGCAGTAGAGTTTGCTAGAATCATAAAAGTTATAATCTTGTGTAGTCTAGTCACTGAATATTAGGTTGGCCAAAAAGTTTGTTTTTTTCTATAAGGTGGCTCTAGTAGCTCTTAGTTGTCTTTAACTTCATTCAAAACAATTTTGTTAGATGGTGTTGTGACAGCTGTCATGTCAGCATGCATTTAAAAAAACCTTATCAAACTTGGTGAATTTTTGTGTAACAATTTCAATATTAAATGAAAGAAAATGTTCAACACTTTTGGCATATTATGCTTTGTTATTTCAAGAAAGGTAAAACACCAAAAATGAACTGTGCAGTGTATGGAAAAGGTGCTGTGACTAATGGAATGTGTCAAAGTGGTTTGTGAAGTTTTGTTCTGGAGATATCTCGCTGGACAATGCTCCATGATTGGGTAGACTGGTTGAAGTTGATCGTGATCAAATCAACAAATTAATAATAATCAACATTATACTATGAAGGAGATAGCTGATATACTAAAAATATCCAAATCAATAGTTACCGGTGAAAATGAAAAAATGTGTGTTTTATTTTATTGGAAAAACTATACAGACTTTTTGGCCAACTGAATATCTCATCACTTTTGCTGTCTTCTACTGGCTACAAGCAAATTTCAAGGTTGCCCACACTCAAAGAAAGAGGAGTAACCAAGAATGTGAATACCAGGAGGTAGGGACCACTGGGGCCAGTTCAGAGTCAGCCTGCAACATCGTGTAATAGAATTGAAAGGATTAAGTAGTTAATAGTTAGAAAAATTGCAGCCATATAGCATGTTTTCTGTAAATATTATCTGTTATCGTATCATTATTAGTACTAGTGAATTCATATGAAAGGAATATCCTATAGAAGTAATAAATGGAGAAATGCCTTTTCTCACTGTTCAGCACTGATTTGTCCTGGATAAAAAAATATAAGAGGTTATATTAATGTGAGAAGTTCTTCATCACTTAACCTGCATCAGATATTTTATGCTGAAAAGAAAGCCTTAAGAATTTCCTGATAATGAGGTTTTTAAGAGTACAACTATTGAAGACTCAAAGAGAAACATGAAATTATTTTCCCATAATAAATTTCCAGAAGTAGATGTTTTATAATCTTTATTGTCTGAGCATAAATCAAGATTGATTAGAAACTATCAAAAAGATGGCAAAAAGGAAACTGATCACTGGAAATTTAACATTGTATGTGTATACTTGTGTGTGTGTGTGAGAGAGAGAGAGAGTATGTGTAAAACTCTTGTATAAAAGGAAGAAAACATCATTTCATTACGGTCACTATGACTTTTGGTGTTCATATTGTCCCATCTTCAACTGGTAGTAGAGTCTTTTGAAATGACACCACTAGTAGTTAGTTTACTTGGTTATGGCTCTATAGTTCAGACAGCTATGGATGATGTTTTAGCACAACTCAGCATTCTGAAAATTGACAAATAAGGGGAAAAGTCATTTATTTTACTTTTCCCATGTGAACCAAGTTTTACAGCCACCAAAAACTTTTCAAATTAAAGAGTCTTTAAAATCTAGTAAATACAGAGGGATTGACAGTATTAGAATAATCACTGTTTTCTAGTTTCCTAATGGAATAATGAGTCCAGAAAGTGATCAGTGAATATTAAAACTATTAAGCGAAGGTTTTTATAGTGAGAACATTAGAATGGATTTACTGAGCTGACCATCTCTGAACCCTTTAATCAACTTTAACCACTATAAAAATGGGGCTATTAGACTATTCACCTCTTGAAATAATGCAACAGAAAGTACACACCACTACTTATAAAGCCTTATTGCCAAAATAATGAACTGAAGGAATTAAACCATTAAGTCAAAGTGTTTCTTTAAACCAAGAATTTAGGGACTAGATAAACAAAGTAAATGGCAACACAAGAAAGCAGCCAAACAAATCCAGTATGTGTAAACTTCTACAAAACAATCTGCTTTCTTCAACTAAAGAGTGGCATGAAAAAGAAAATAAGGGCAATTGTTAACAGATTAAAAGAGACAAGAGACATGCCAACTAAACAATATGTGGGCATTACTTGTACCTATTTGGAACAAAATGTAGAATGATTTTTGAGCCAGTGAGGGGAATGTGGACGTGTACTGACTATTAGATAATATTTAGAAATAATTTTGTTAGGGATGTCAATGTGGTTAAGAAATAAGAGCTCTTGTGTGCTAGAGTACATGCTTACATGTTTATGAAATGATAAGCTATCCAGATTTACATTAAAATACTTCAGCAATAGAAAAAAATTGGCAAAGAGAACTGGAAAGTAGATTGACAAAATGTTGATAATCACTGAAGTGGAGTGGTTTGTATATCGGGGTTTGTAATAATATTTCTATTGTTTATGTGTTTGAAAGTGTCAATAAAAAATGTCTAATGTCAAAACTGAAATTATAGACTACTTAGAAATGATTATTAATGAGAAGCCTGCATATCTAAACTTGTTTGATATGACCAAAGCTCTATTCAGGAAGAAATGAATGCTCTTTAATAAGTAAACTTTGGGCACAGTCTTGATCTTTGTTACTTATCCACAGCAGTCAGGTCTGGGCCTGTCACATATATGAATGTGTTTAAGGAATGAATAAACATTTGTGTCAAGAAATCAGAAACAGAACTAAATAAAACTGCAAGAGAAGCAAAATACAATTAAAAATAGGAATTAAGAGACTAGACCAATAGTAGACTTAATTGAATGTTTTTAAAAGTTTTTTTCAATTACAGTTGATATTCAATATTATATTAGTTTTAGGTGTACAGATAAGTAGTTAGACTTATAACTTAAGAAGTTATCCCTTGATAAGTCTTACCCATCTGACACCATATATAATTATTACAATATTACTATATTGCCTATGCTGTACTTTACAGCCCTGTGACCTTTTGTGATTGCCAATTTGTACTTCTTAATCCCTTCATGTTTTTCCATACATCCTCCCAACCCCCTCCAATCTGACAACCATCATTTCTCTGTATCTATGAGCTTACTTCTGTTTTGTTTGTTCATTTATTTTGTGTTTCAGTGTTTGCATATAAGTGAAATCACATAGTATTTGTCTTTCTGTCTGACTTATTTCTCTAAGTGTAATACCCTCTAGATCCATCTATGTTGCATGTAGCATCCAGCAAACGCAAGAACAAATATCGGAGACTTTCAGGGTATCAAAGATGTTACTTTATTGGCCAAGTTTAACCTGCGCAGGGGTGAACTCTCAAAGTGTCCAGCGACACAGTGCCCACAAGGAGCTACAAACGAGAGCCGCGCCGAGCACTTACAACTACGTTCTTATATATGGGCAGGCAAGCAAGCGTTATACAGAAGCAGACGTGGCAGTTAGTAATTCGCTTACAAAGATCACGCGCGGGAATTTCAAACCAAGCATTCTTTCATAAGGCGGGAAGGCAGGATGTTTGTTCATTAACCTAGTAATCTCCTGACTCTAGCTAGCTAGGTTCTTATGTTCTGATTAAAACTACAAAGCATTGCTTATCTAGCCTACCCAGGGGAGAGCATCTGCTAGACACAGGATGTTTGCTTAACTGTACTCTGGCTCTTTTATCATTTCTTTTTAGCTACAATGTGGTTATTGTCTATTAAGGTTAAATTTAGTTCTTAATTTCCTTGTTCCCAACATTGCACAGGAAATGATTTCATTTTTTATGGCAGAATAATAGTTCATTGTATATATGCACCACTTCTTTATCCATTTTGTCTGTCAGTGGAACTTACTGTATTTTTTCAAGTGTAATGCTCGCCTATGTTTTTGTGCACATTATAATGGGATTATTATGCCATTATACCCATGGTATGTGTTCATTATACTTATGTATAATGCACATCCTTATTTTTCCCTCAAAATTTTTGACAAAAAAGTGTATATTATACACAGCAAAATATGGTAGATTGCTTCCATATCTTGGCTATTTTAAATAATGTTGCAGTGAACATAGGGATGCATATATCTTTTTGGATCACTGTATTGGATTTCCTCAAATTAATACCCAGAAGTGGAATTGCTGGATCATATGATAGTTTTATTATTTTTTGAGGGGTCTGCATACTGATTTTCATAGTGGCTGTATCAATTTGAATTTTTACAAACAATGCACAAAGCTCTCCGTTTCTCCACATCCTTGCCAACACTTGTTGTTTGTTGATTTATTAATGGTAGCATTTTGATAGGTGTGAAATGATGGTTCTTATTTTAACTTTATTTCTATTGACACTATTACAGATGTCCCCTTCCTGCCTCTCCACCTTTGCCCACCCAACCCTGTCCTCCCTTTTCTCTGGTCATCACCACACTGTTGTCTGTTTCTATATGTTATGCTAGGTTGTCTAAGCCCTCTACCTTTCATCCTGTGCCCCCTCCCCTCTCCTCTGACAGCTATCAGTCTGTTTCATGTATTTATGCTTCTGTTTGTATTTTTTCATCAGTTTATTTTATTAGGTTTTAATTTGTTTTTTCTGATGATCAGTGATGTTATGCATCTTTGCATATGTCTATTGGCCATCTGTATGTCCTCTGGAAAAATGCCTGTTAACATTCTCTACCCATTTTCAAATCAGATTGTCTGTTCATGTTAAGTTGTATGAGTTCCTTGTATATTTGGGATATTAGCCCCTGTCAAATGTATAATTGGAAAATAACTTCTCCCAGTCAGCAGTTTCTTTTTTTTTGTTTGTTGATGATTTTCTTTACTGTACAAAAACATTTTGTTTGATGTGGTCCCTTTTGTTTATTTTTTCTTTTGTTTCCTTTTCCTGAGGACCTACACCTGAAAGTTATTACTAAGAGCAAGTTGAAGAGGTCGCTATCTCTGTTTTCCTCTAGGAGTTTTATGGTTTTGGGTCTTACATTTAAGTTTTTCATCCAGTTTGGGCTTATTCTTTTATAAGAAAGTGGTCTTGTTTCTTTCTCTTTTTTTGTTTTTGCATATAATAATCAAGTTCTCCCAACACTATTTATTGAAGAGACTATCTTTACCACATTGTATATTCTTGCTTTCTTTGTCAATTATTAATGCATTGAATAGGTATCAGTTAATTTCTGGGCTCTTTAATCTGTTCCACTGACTGGTGTGTCTGTTTTTATGCCAGTACCATGCTGTTTTAATTACAATAACCTTATAGTATAGTTTGAT